GTGCTCGGGTGTGTTTTGACACAGAGACCACCACGGGCACGCCTCGATGACCGCTTTTTTTTCATATGGTCGTGTGTCGCTGGCATAATACCGCATCCCATCGAATTGGAGGTATTCGCCGTATTCGTCGCTTCGCTTGATGTTGCGTCGCTTGCCTTGGAACAACACGCGGTTGCCCTCACGTTGCATTGAAGAACCGTTGAAGAATCGCGGTTTAACGGTGAAACGGCGCGAGATGATGGGCGCTTCTGGGGCAATGGGTTGTTCGGCGACTGTTGGTTCGACCCAATGAACCATTGTTGCAATTCCACGTGTGTATTCAGGCACCACGCATTCGTCGCGGGGCTGTGTGTCTACGCGGATTACTGGTTCGGCCACTGGTTCGAGCTCCTGCACACGCTTTTCAAGCTCTGCGATTCGGTCTTGCATCACTTGGAAGGCGGATTGGTAGGCGTTGATAATGATTTGATGTTGCTGGCACATGATAGATTGTCGGTTCTGGTCGTGGGTGTCTTTGTTATAATGGTATATGGTGCGCGTTGTCTTTATACCCCCCGCACCGTTTGCCCGTTGGCCGTTTGGTTGGGTTGGCGTCGGGCTGGTTGATGGGTGGCCAGAATGGCCACCATCGGCGCCGTCCCGCTGAATCATCGGTGGGCGCCCGCTTGTGGCCTGTTTGTGGGTGAATTGGGCTGTATTCTGGAAAAAAACTTAGGTTGATTTTTTTTATTTTTTTTTTGACCTAACCTTTTTTCCAGATATTCACCCAATCCACCCAATCACCCAAGAATGTAAGCATCCGCCGTTAACTCTGTCGTGTTCCGCCGTTGGGCACCTTTTTTACCACAAATACACACAACCCAATGGCAGGGATGGGGACGTGTGCGCCGATGGGTCAACGGGTTAAAAAGTTGTTGCACATTGTGTTTTGGCGGTGTCGAAGTCGTCGGCCGTGTTGAACAGGTGCGGAGCGCTGGCGATCGGTAGGGCTTGGGCGTGTTGGTATTCAATCATTAGCGGTTGGCGATGTAGTCGCCACCAGAGGTAAACGCACAAGCACGCGTGCGCAACGCTTGAAATAGAAAATGATATTAGAACAGTATACACCATTTATTAAACATACCACATAATAAAATGACACGTATGACTAACGCCGAAAAATGCAGATTATACCGACAAAGACACCTTGAACAGGAGGTCGAACGATGCCGTGTTCGTTATCAAAAACATAAAGTCGAAATCGAACAGAGAAAAAAAGAACTACGATATGGCCACGTGTTCGTGGGCTCGCTTGATTTCAGCGTGTCCCGAAAACCTGTTGTTGTATCATTTGATTAATCACCGTTTGATTAAATGTTTTTTGTCGATTTTGTGCGCCTTGGAAGTTGGATCAATTGATGCGTACACCCTGGCAACCGCCCATTGCTCCGCGCTCTTAACCTGTGGTCGCACGCTGGCGGGGTTAGTTTTAAAGGCGCCCACCCCTTTGTTAAAAATGGTTTTAAGTCCCGCGAGCTTGTACCCAGACAGGCGCGCAATTTTTGCCAAGCTGTTGGATTCATTCAATGGTTGGCCGTGTTTTTTGTTGAACTTCTGTTTGTACGTTGGCATTTTATTATGTGTATAACATTTTAAATATGGGCAATATATCTTCGCGCTGGTCGGTGATTGACTATTCAGCCAATCGCCAACACTCGACAGAACATCGAATCAACGAATGGGAAGACCTCGCGCCAAAAAATAATGAATACTACGACGGCACGCGATTTTTTAAAGTCCCTCGGCATCTTTACCCCTCGTACACGCGGGGGTGGTTATACGGTTATTTGCCAGAGTCCGCGGAATATTGGAAAAGCATTTATGAAGAGCAGGTGTAAAAAAAAAAAATCTTAACCAATACCCAAACACACCAACCAACACACAATGCCCACCCAATACAAGAAAGGATCCAAAAGCAAGACAATGAAAGGCAAATTGGATTTCACGACGAAGAAAACGTCAAAAATGTTTGACCGTGGGGGGAAGCGGTCAACACACGCCCAAGGCACGATGAAGACTTCCCGACCATTCGGCCAAAAGTAAATGCCATTAATCAAATGACACGACAACATTTTTTTTTACAATCTCGATTTTTTGCAATGGATTATCTACAAAATATTTTCGCGTTTTTGTGTGGTACTGGCTCCCGTACTTCTCAACGCCTGCGCGATATTGGACACGTCGTTTTTCTTTGAAGTATTCCGCATTTTGTCGCCTGTACTCTTTTTGATATGCCACGCGTCGCGCGCGTGCTTCATCTGGTGTTTCGTCGTGGTTGGCCATCTACACAATACGAGACATTTTTTTTTACAATTTGAAACGCTTTTTATAATCGCGAATGGCTGTTGAAAGACTGCGTGTTGGACTCCAAAGGATGAACCGCGACAGAGCACCCGCGGATGTTGGATCCTTCCAATTCTCGGTCGGCTTGTGTCGTGCGATGTATGCTTGGCGGTCTTGCTCGTCTTTGTCCTTGTTTAGAAGGTAATTTGACGAGGTGCCAAAACGGGTTGTCTTTGTCCTGCCGTCTGGCTTGGTGAACGTCGCTTTGAACTCCTTTTTCTGGCCTGGTGTTCGTACAATTGACACAAGCTTCATTTTATTATTATTTATTAATAATATAAAAAAATGTCTGTTTCGCAATGGAGCCCAACCGAAATTGGAATGCTGGTTTCCCTATGCGGTGCCAGTCTCGCAAGCATTATTTTTACAATACAAAAAAGCAAATGTAAAACAATAAAAATGTGTGGTGCTGAATGTGAACGTGATATTTCAATGATTCAAGACACCACCGACCCACCAGACCTTGAAGCACAACACGCCATCCAACCACCAATGCCACCCATCACACACGCCAGAGTGGAACAGACATTGTCGCGCATTACAACACCTCGTCACGGCAACACGGCGGAGAAAATACGCCAATACGAGGAACGACGGACAGTGTAGGCCGTGGGGGGTCGGTCTCTGTTTCGGTGTCGGTCATCTCGACTTCGTGCATATCGTTGTCCCGAATGCAGGCCAGCGCACGGCATCCATAATATGACAATGACTGTGTAATGTATACAACCGCCAATGATACCGATAAAATAATGGTTGCGATCATTGTGATTTTTATTTGTTGTATTGTAGACAATAAAAAAAATGGTTGGATTAAATTATGCAGCGGGCGCACATTGTACCCCCACGAGCTCGCGCCGTTCATCTTGTTCATCGTCTGTTATGTCGTCAGGCTCGGCAAACATTGGCGAGAACTCGTAATTGTTGAATGTGTCTTCGTACCACTCTAAACAGTTAATGTAATCACACAATGACACGTCGATGTTATGGGCATCAACAAATAATTCATAAGACCAAACATTGATTGATAATTCGTTCATTACTTGGTTAAAATAAAATCGATTGTCCCCCAGTGTCTCGACGTGGGAAATGTCGATTTCGGTAATCGTCATTATTCCAAAAACTTATGTTTTAATGCATTCAATTTTATTTTGTGCAATTTGCGTTTCCATTCTTTGGGCGGTTTTATATTTTTGATTGCGTCTTTCCCCTTTTTGGCAAATCGGGGAATGCCTGCCAAGTATGATTGCAATGACGCTTCGTTGGCTTCCTCCAAAGCTGGATTCCATCGGGGTAATTGTGATATTTTAAGACGCAATGAATAATGCCCGCCGTTCATCTCCACGGGTTGGCCGTCGATGTCCGTAATGCGAAAAGTGAGTGTGGACAGGTTCGACGCGTTAATGTAGAACGTTGAGCGATAATAACTGTCCCACGGCCTGAACACGAGGCGCGACGGTGGCTTCTCGTCTCCACCGTACAGGGGCGGAATACTTAATGATGTTATAATGTTGGTTTCTTCTGCCAATGCGCGGTTGCTGTTTCGGCTTAGTGCGTCATACGTGCTTGAAATCTGTATTGCATCCGCCAACCTTATGTCGATGGTCTGGGGTGATACCACCTTCCCACCGTTGGGAATAATCCAATATCCAATGTTGCCATAAGCCGAGGCAGGAGCGCCGAAAAAGTTTTTGACATATTGTCCCGTCTGTTTAGGAAATCCCATTGACTGATTCGCCGTCTGGTTCTCGCTGGTATCGTTTGGGCGCGACCCTTGATCAATTTGTCCCATTGGGTATTTATCATAAATATAACACGACAAGCCATCAGGCGTTGACGCCATAAAAATTTCAAACCGTCGCACGGTCTCAATGTATTCAACACGGAATGGCGACAGCGCACCGCCCGTTGCATTGTCATACGTTAGATTTAGACGAGCGGTCAACATCCCCGCGTAATCGTTGGGGGAGAAGTTGCCAGGATCTAAAAAAACGATTTCCAAATATGACGGCTGTATGGGCTGATTTGTCGTTGGGTCTAATTCACCAATGGATAAAAACAATGTGTTGTTGATGCCTTGCGCTACATTGTAAAACGAATAGTCAACATCGATTTCAACAATGCTTCCCACGAGTTGGAACCCCTGCGACGTTGACAGGCTGAGGAAGTTGTATTCGGTCAAGTTGCAATCATTCATCGTTGCAATGCTGAATGCGGATTGTCCGTTGCGTTGGTCAGCCTGTGCAATTTTGAGACCTTGGCCGACCTCTTGGCGAACTCCTTTTCCCTGCGTAGAATACAAAAGGATTTGAGACCCTGCATCGCTGGCGGTTTTACTCATTTGTGTTTTTAAACTTGTTTAATAACTCAATATTATTTTTTGTGGTGGGGAATCCTACGTCCTCCGCGATGTCGGTAATGTTGAAATTATTATCAAAAAAACAATAATCTAACCCCGAAAAATCAATCTTTTTTTTTTGTTTGAACCCTCGGCAATCAGTGTTGAAAAGTTGGCCAGGCAATGGGAAATCGTCCGTGGTCAATTTTATGTTTTTCGCGTTCGCGTTCGGGTGTTCCATAAAAAAAATCTGTTGTTATAATTACACACAGAAAAATAAATTATGTCGACGCCCGAAGAAACGCAACACCCCGAAGACCAACAGCCCGAACCCGACACCATCACCAAACCCAAGCCAAAGCGAGCGCGGACGCCTGCACAGCAAGAGGCATTCAAGAAGGCACAGGCAAAACGGGTTGAGCGTATGCGACAGAAGAAGAAGGAGAAGGAAGACGCGGAGGCACTGGCCATTGCGGAGGCTGAGGCCTTGGCCGAAGTGGAGCAAGAAGCCATCGCCGAACCAGAGCCAGCACCAGAGCCAGCCAAGCCAGCCAAGAAGCCACGCAAGCCGAGGGCACCACGCAAGAAGAAGGCCGAGCCAGTGCCACCGATTCCAGAGCCTGAACCAGTCAAGGAAGCACAAGACATTGAGACGCCCGCCAGCGACGAACCGTTGCCAATCCCTACGCCTCCACCCGCTAAGAAGAAGCGCGCACCGAAGGTTCCAAAGCAAACCAAGTTGATAACCGTGAAGAAGAAGCCGAAGGCACCACCCAAGCCACAAAAAGAAATCGTGTATGAAAACAGCGACAGCGACACAGACGACGACGAGTTGTTGGAACAAGTTTACATCAGTTACAAACAGCAGTTGAAACAGAAGCGAGCGAAGGCAAAGGCGAGACAGGCGGGACAGCCTCACGCGACCGTCCATCCACCCGATGTTCCAAAGAAACCCACGTTGAAGTTCGTATGAATATATTTTCTAAACAACAAAACAAAATGCAAGAAGTAGAGAACCCAGATTTCGCACGGCGTCCACCCGCTGTAATCTGCGACGTTGAATTGCCAAACATCCCCGAGCCCTTCCCGAATAAGTCTTTCCATATGGCATTCGTTGGACGTCCTGGATTTGGTAAAACATCCCTTGCGATAAACTTAATCGCCGAGAAGACAAGCGGGCATCGTTGCTACTATCGCAAGTTTGATGAAGTTTATGTGATGATGCCCAAAGGTTCGTTGGCCAGTCTAAAAGATAACCCATTCGAAAGCCTGCCAGCCGACAACATCTATAACGATTTCACGTTGGAAAATCTGTATGATTTGGAAATGAAGTTGGAGGAAAACGCAGAGGAAGACCCACCGAAATTGTCGTTGTTATTCATCGACGATTTAGCGGCCGATTTAAAAACGGGTGGTGAGTTGGAACGAGTGTTTAAACGGCTCGCATATAATCGACGCCACCTTCGCTTGTCCATTATAAATTGTGTCCAACGACTCACGACCATTCCAAAAAGTGTTCGTGCCACCTTCTCGCACGTGTGCTTTTTCAAATGTACCAAAAATGAAAATCTCATTATGTACGACGAATTGATCGATATGGATAAACAGACATACGCGGAGTTGTGCAATTACTGTTTCAGGGATAAACATGACACAATATTCGTTGACCTGAATAACCTGACATTCTACCGTAATTTTAACAAATTGGAAAATGTGGCCGACCCTTTGCAAACGGTGGTCTAATCATTCCAGCCGTCACGCCATCCGCCCAATCCGCCCAAGCCTGTTTTTGTGGGTTGAGTGTTTTTAAGGCTAAAAAAACACCCAACGGTGAAACACGTTAACGTTAGCGTAGATTGTCGATGGATTGGGCTATTGGGTGGATTGGGTAATTATTTGAAAAAAAAGTTAGGTTCAAAAAAATAAAAAAAAAAATGACCTAAGTTTTTTTCAGGAAATTAACCCAATTCACCCAATAGCGGACGACCACCACTGATTCAGTGGGCGCCACCGTTAAAACGCTGTTTTTAAGGGTAAAACCAATTACCCAACAATTTATTCAAAATCTCGCTCACGGTCAAAATCTCGTCCACGTTCGTATCGGTCAGGGTCGACGTCTTCCCCGTCGTTGTCGTACAAGTTTCCGTCGCTGTCTTCTACCAAATCACCCGCGCCCGCATCGTCCAACAGCTGTTGCAATTGTTCGTCTTCCGCTCGTTGCCGTCGAACTTCACGGCGTCGTTCGATTGCGGTAAACATTGGCGCCAATTCTCGTTCGCGTTGCTCTGCTAATCGTTCACGTCTTCGCCCACGTCGACGTTCGGTCGCTTCATACATTGGTGCCAACTCTTCTTGGCGTTGCTGGCGCATTGCTTGCACTGCTTCACGTGCTGGCGCAAAATCCAATTCATCAACGCGGAAACCGTTCAAGACCTCATCGGGTTCAACGTATGATTCAACATCCGCCATAACCATTTCACCACGTTCACGTGCTTCACGTGCTTCACGTTCTTGTTCGGCTTCTAAAACTTGGCGTGATTGCCTGTCCGCGTCTCGCATCTGTGACCGTTCGTCCAATGAGCGGAAAGCGTCAACGAATCGTTCTTGTTCGGTTGGAATCTGTGCGGGCATCTGTGGGGCGGGGCGTGGTTCAAAAACACGCGGTGGCATCTGCCCAAATCCTGGGATTTCACCCATCCCGACGTCGCCACGTTGTAGACGTGGCATCGGTGCGGGTTGTCCTCCGCGTTCCTGTGGCATTGGTTGTTCGTAAAAAATTGGCTCAGCAGGTGGGCGGGCTGGCTGTGGTGGCATTGCTGGTTGCGACTCGCTCACCCGTTCACGCCGACGTGGTCGCAGGTCTTGGAATCTGGGTTGTTCAAATGTGGCACGTGCTGATGGCTTGCCAACAACCAACGGAACATGCATTGACTGGGCGAACGGCTGGGACAGACCGCGGGCGACAATCTGGGGAATGCCTCGGCCACGGTCTCCACCGTCTCCACCGTCCCCACCGTCTCCACCGTCCCCACCGTCGCCACGTCGTTTTGCCTTTCGCAAACATTCGCGGAAACATTTTAACTGTTCACGGGTATATTTACGGGTTTTTAAATCGCTGGGTAATGACTGCATTTTGTTATTGTTCACCATAGAAAAAAATTAAAGACGGAATCGTGCATATTCCATTGTCTTTGGAATATTGCGTTCGGTACTCTGCTGTGCCTTGCGCTCGGTTATCTTGCTTCGTTCTTGGTTGTCGCCTGCCTGCATAATGGGGCGTGCGCGTGCTTCAAGACCTGTTGACACGTCCAAACGGAAGTTCTCGTCGGTCGGCATATCTGCCGACCGCATCAGCTTGTCGATATTACCGCCCGTGAATATTAAATCGCTGTTGTGCTCCTGCTCACGACTCGGGACGAAAAACGGGTTTTGATGTGCGCCAGCTTTGAACGTTTCGAGCTGTGGACGGTCTGCGCGGAGTATCTGGGACAATGGGTCATTGTTGTATCGGCTCGGCTGATTGGGTGCGGACTGACCAAACATTGCGCGAAGACTGGCCATTGATTCATTCGATGAAGCCTGTACGGATGGGTACACGTCGAGCGCGTCCAATTCGTTTTGCCACTGTGTGGGCGCTAAAAATTGGTTGGCCTGTCTTTGGACGTTTTCGGCTTGGGAAGGATTGGTGAACATTGTGTTTTGTTTAATGGATAATATTTTTTTATTTGCGTCATAATAAACAATGTCAAGTCTCGGTTATTCATATTTTGGCCTGCTTCCCGAATCTCAGCGTGGGTCGCCCAACTCTCACGCGTCATTGGATAATTACGTGCCACAGCAAACGAACCCTTTAATGGTGTCGCCGAACTTCAACGGACAAAACCCATTGCCATTTGATGGATCCGTGCAACCCCACCAATATGTGTTGATACAAAAACATTATAATGACCCGCGATTGCTTGGCGTCGTTGGCCATTCTCCCGAGATGGTGCAATATTACCAGCGTGGTAAACCTGAATACATTGATGCGCATTATCCCGACATTCCGTTGGCTCGTTCACAGTCTCAGTATATGTCCACGCACGGTAATGTTTATGAAAATCTGGTTCAACCATATGTTCCAACTGGATTTCCGCCGACCTAAAATCCACGTTTGAAAAATATATTTTTTTTTCTCGAACATATAGAAATCGAGAAAAAACACAATACAAATTATGGAGCCACTGCACCCCGACACATTCGCACAAGACCTTGACGCCATCCGCGACCCAAAGGAAGACACCGTCCGCAAGCCTCTGCAATGGGTGGTGCCGTCCGTATCAACTGAATGTGATGACAAGGCGGACGAATGCGCCGACCGTGCATTCTTCAATATGATGTCATATGTGAAGCTATTACAAAAACATTACAGCGATATGATCATGACAGAGAACATCAAGAAGTTCACCGACGAAGAAAACGAATTGTGGGAGAAAGACAGAAAAGACATTATGTTTAAAATTGTCGAGCATTTCTCCATTATCGAGTTCGTGCGCGTTTTCCCCAAGTTGTCCAAGCCGAACGAAGACGGAAAAATGGTTTTTGATTTGTCCGCATTCCACCCGCACTTGAAGCAGGCGAAGAACGGCGGATTGTATGTTGACGAATACAAGATTCAAGAAGACGTCAAGGCGAAGTGCGAGGAGCGCCAACAATTGATTGAATCACACGTCGATTACAACAAGGCGGAAGGCAGGATGAAAACAAAAGAAGAAATCGACAATGTGGAAAAAAAACCCGATGCATAAAATAAATGGCCAAACGCACGATATACCGCGACAAGCTGACACGACAACGTGTCAGCCAACAAGACGACGACACAGCACAACCACAGCAAAAGAAACAGACATTCGGGACGAAGGGTTCAACATCTGGTTTTCTCGTTCATACATTGCCAGCCCTAAAAATGAAAACACCCGAACACGGCGAACGATATATTGAAACCGACCCAAAAAATAAAATGCGTTTTGCCTGAATGTTTAACACAAAAAAAAATATGTTTGGCAATATTACAACCACTATTTTTTAAATCACTTTACAAATATGGCCGAATCCTCCTTTCCAAAGTCTCTTGATTTTTCCCCTCAACCGCTGAGCATCAGCGCACGGGCATACACTGCAAAATGTGTTCCCGAGTCCAGCTCCACCGCCAGACCAAACGAGATTGTGCGAATCCGCATTCCCAGCGGTCGCGCGGGTTCTTATCTCAACAACTCCAAGTCGTTTTTATCCTTCAACGTTGTCAACGATTCCAAGGTGGCAGGCATCGAAGACGCCGACGCGGGACAACTTCCCGTCGAAGCCATCCGCGATTCCAAATTGGTGTTGGACGGTTCCGCATACGCTGTTCTGCAAACTCAGGAAGTTTACAACAGCTCAAATCTCCTTGAATCCATCCAGAACGCAAACGTGCTTTATAATATTTTGGTGGATCTCCAAACCTCGATGGGCTCCCGTCTCACTGGTTCATCCATTCTTGGCATCGGTGCGACTGGTGTAAACTCCCAGATGTGGAACAAGTACCACGGCGCCACACAATCGGGCGTGATTGACAATCGCGCGGACAGGGCATTTAACGAGGTCGTGTCCCGTCTTGGTACTATTTATTGCGGTTTAAATATCCTGTCCGCTTCACGTGATCCCGCCACGGGCGCCGAAGTAGATAACGTGATCGTAGAAACAGATGTTGTGGCCGGCCCTGCTGTTACCAATACCAAAGCGCCATTCGCTGGATATCCTGGCCCTGTCTATATGGATACCGTTTATGGGCCAATTGGTCAAGCCGTAGGAAATGACGCAATTTTCAAAGGCCAGTTGGCCGCCCTCGATGCTGGGTCAGCGGGTGTCGATGGTTTCATTTCTCGCCTCGGCCCTGTGATTCCATACGGCCAGAAACAGCGGTTCACACTTCCCCTTGTGTCTGGTGTCGTCGGT